CACTCGCAATCATATTGCCAGTCCTTTGACTCGTATCAAAAAAACCGACAAAACCGGGAGCGATGAGTAGACGAGGAGCATGACGTGCAGCATGACGAGTATTGTTGCCACACTACGTCTGTGCCTTCTCTCCTCTCTTCTTCCCATGCTATTCGACGAATGTGGGGCAGGGGGATAAATTATTTTAAAATAGTTAGTCTTAAATTAAAGCTAATTACAGTCTTCTTATTTAAAAATCATAACTTAAGAGTACGAGCAGAAAGGGTAATTTAAAAACATGTTTATATATATATATATACCACCACACGAAACACAGCAGCATTAAGCTGACATTAAGCTGTGCATATAGCTATTTTACGCTGGTATTTGTGGTCTTTCCCCGGTAGAGAATTTGTGCTACAACCGTTCTAGCTGCAGCGTGGCTCTACCACGTTTATGCCATTTCATTTTTTACCACGTTTTTATTAAGTAACTTTCTTATTGTTTTTTTCTGTCAGTTTGTCGTTGCGGGTGGAAACCTGCAACGCAAACGAGCACTTCTTAAATTTTGAACATAGATCAGAATTGGATAACAATGTAGGAATATAAAAACGTGGTATATTAATATTTTTAGTACAAAATAAAATAAACACTAATTTCACTGTATGTTTCGTGCTTCGCATGTGGTGAAAACTTATAGATATGATATGACTCCACGGTAATATAACACAAATATTCCTTGGAAGCTACGAGCACACCATCGCCCCACTCAGCCTTGTTAAATAGATTTATGTTTTACAACTCTCCATTGCTCAGCTTACTCAAAAACTCTCTTTTACTTTGAAGATTTGCTCTTACATATTACGGTAGATGGATGGATCGGTGAGTACCTAGCCCCTCCACTCCGTGGCATTGACGGCGAATCGTCGACGGGCTATTAACCGGTGGAATTCTCTTTCTATTCATATCCAGCATGTAAAATAATCCGTATATTGACGTCTGCTGGCTGCCTTTGAGTAGTGTGTGTACTCAGTGTGGAATAACCCGTAAAAGAATTCACTCTCCCATAATATCATCCCGTGGGTGTCGTAAGAGGCGACAGAAGGAAACTGAGTTGAGGAGTTGAGCAGCAGCATCTTCCTATTAAAATAATAAAAAACTGCGGCTGCTACCTCGCCTGCCAAGCGTGGCAACTATGGCAAATATCTCCCCAATGAGGCAATCTAAAGGGAGGTCTATGTGCAGCAGTGATCTGTAGACGAACTGTAATGATGATTATGAACACTATCTATCATTGTTTTACATAATATGCCTGTTCTTCTTCTATTTGTTTTCTGAAAGAATAATCCCACCAAAAATATAAATGTGAAAAGTGGTCAAAGTTCAGTACAAGCTAATTTCAGGGTTGTCGCAAAAGGGAATATAATCTCTATGATTGTCGGCTTCGAACTTATAACAGTTGAGATCTGAACAGGCGCCATGATATATTTTTTTAGTTTTCTTTTTTTTTTATTAATCCAAAAGATAGTAGTATTTCATGCGTTAACAGTTCACTGTTTTCTATTTAAAATAAATAATGTCGACAAAATTATTGGTGCGGTTGATTTTAAGTAGAGTACGTGAAACTAACCGCACCAATAACTTTATCGACACCGAATATTGTGATAAATTGCAGTTCTAAAAAAATATTTGTATGCGCCTAATGTTCTACCTTGATTTCTAAGTAACCTAGTAGTAACTAAGGTTTTTGAAGAGTGAATCAGTGAGTAGAAAAAAGGGATTATTAATTACATACTCAAACTTATAATCGATGTTAAACAGTTGTATGTTCTAAGCTAGGCAAACAGTTTCTCCACATTACTTTATAGATTTCGTTATACAATTCTCTAGCCTTACTAAGCAAGTGTTCACATAACATTCTCAGCAATGGTATAGAGTAGACTCTCGAAAAATAAGCCGCGACCGAACTTTAATGTTAAGCCATGAATAATTGAAACCTAGACTGAGATGTCGGTACTTGTAAAAATTATATTTTTAATAAAACAAATTGTGAAAAATATTTTATTTATTACCTCTGCCAAAACAGCTTAATTTTCACATTGTACTACTGTGTTTTACATTTATATATAAAATAATGAGGTATAAATAAAACAGTCAATGTGAATTTACTTAATTTTACAAACCAAACAACAAGTTAATTGATAATTTGGCTGCAGTCTGCTGCCTCAGACACACTATATACAGACAGGCCATTAGGAATATTTATTTATTTAAGAATTATCGTCACAGCTGTGACGGAGCAGCTCATAGCTTTACTGTAAGTGCTACGTTGCACTGCATCCCCGCTTGATAAAAATAATCAAATCTATTTGGAAATTTTTCGTTTATTATTAGACTTGCAACAAATAGTATATGGCCTCACGCCGAATATCGAATGCGTCTCCCTCGCCGAATAACCGAATATTATGCAAAAGCATTTGGCCGGGAATGAAGTAGTGTTTATTAAGAGTGTCTTTTCTCTGAAGCTGGGATTGTCTACGAGAAGAAAAGGAGTAAACTACTGCTTGAAAATGCTGAGAAATTAGTCTTTCTGCACCAAAATCTTCAGGCGTTCAGCCAGAGTTGTGGGCAACGCTCCGTTATATAGAGCTGTCATATACAACATGTAACAATAATCCTGTGGTTCCCGTTAAGTGCGTTATCAAAGTCAGTATTTAAACTAATAGCTTTAGAAATAACTTTTTTCAAAAAACTTGAATATTTTTTTTGAAAATAAATAATTTTCGAATTGTATGTGGTTTTATTACCTCTGCATTATCCGGAGAATAAGAGGATTTGTTAAAGACCTCCCTTCACCGATGCTCGTGTCGAGTAGAGGTAATAAAACCACATACAATTTGCAAATTAATTTTTTTTAATTAAAATTAAATTTTTTAATTTTCAAGTTTTTTGAAAAAAGTTATTTCTTTACGTTTGAATACAGACTCTGATAACGCACTAAAAGGGAACCACAGGGGTTTTGTTACACGCTGTATATAGCGCAGTACTTAGGAACTTCGATAGCGTAATTTAGGCTTCGGTGTGTCAAGACAGCGCCATCACATCTCATCATAAATTATTATAAAATAAATCAATATTTTCATTTTACCAATTATCTGAATACAACAAAAACATCTAAAGTATTCGGTATTCGTCAAAATAGGATAAAAGTAGCCGAATACAGAATAATAGGCGAATGTTCGTTGCAAGTCTAAGTTTATTATGTTAACTCAAACATAATTTTTCCATTAAAACAATTACATAGACAAAACCCTATAAAAATAATTTACAAAAACGTAGTGCATGATGCTCAAGATGCCACTGATCACAATTAGAGCTTGTGAACGCAGTGCTCTAGTGCAACATAGCAGTTACAGCAGTCAGTCAGCCACTACACTAAAATTTACCGAATGTACGTTTCGACCCAGTCAGTGCACTTTGTTAGTAACTAACATATTTTTATCCAAAATATATCCATGTCTACCTGAAGGTTTGGTGTTTACTGCTAAATAAAAAATAATCCTGTTATTATTACATATTAATGTCAGGATTTTCCTTTCATTGGAAGAAGTTCAACTTCATATGCCCCCACATAAACTTCATATCATATTGAGGAAATCCTTGATTGGTTAACCCCGCTGCTTCATAATTATCTTATTCAATTGATACACGGGACTCATCCCTTTAACAGTTTTAATCTCAATTATTCATTATCACAAGATATATTTATATTTATAGGAGGAATCTTATTAATAATGACAGGACAATTTCTCAGTGCTTCAGAAGAAGTACAACAGATCACCAGATCACTTATCTCAGAGGAGGACCTCGCAACAATAAATCCTATTATGGCTGGGCAATCAGCTGTTTCGGGTCATGAAGGAAAAACAACCCTCCAGATATTAAAAGAGTCTACCAAATTAAACCCAGGTTTTGTAAATCCTCAAATTCAGGATATCCCTGAAGATGATCCCGACTACACACTTGGGTATGATCCCGATAATCAACCTATTAGTACTTGTGATCCACTTAATTGTCATGGGATGGGGGTTTTTATGAGTTATCTAGATTGCTCAAAATATCAGAAAATCCCTCAACTCAGGAGATTTTGAGATTAGTCAAAACAATCTCAGGACTGAATCTAACCAAACCAGAGCTATTGTATACACAATACACCTTGTTGGTTAAAATAAGTGGAAATGACTGGGGATTTCTGAAAGAGACTCTTGTCGCTTCAATACTCCAGAGTTATAATTCATTCCTTTCCTGTGTTAACAGTATGCTGGTAGTGTATCAACTACAGCATTCTAAAACCGTCAATACACATATGAGGGGTGCCAAACCATAACGTTTTAAGTGCCACACGAACTGAAATGCGTTTTATTGCAGTAAAACGTTGTATGTGCCGGCGTTTACTTGCAGTAATGAGTTGAAGGGTTTCTAACGCCATCTAACTTAAATATTGTGAAACAGCATGCCATAACGTTGTAAGTGCCAAATGAGCTGCAAACGTCAGTGCATTCAAAATGTCCGAACAAGACGGTGCGTCTACAACGAGAAAAAAAATTTAATAAAAAGACATGGAAAAAAACAATAAGGAAATATTGCAGAAACAAGGGCTTATCGATGTGAATACAAAAAATAAAGAAGTGAGTGAAAAAAGTGAGCCAAGTGAGGTATATGTGATATTTTTTTAAACCATTGTTAAAAAACGTAAACATAGTATTTTACCTTTAAATATATTTATATTACTTTACCATTGTTATTATACACTTATACAGTATAATCTCACTAATCCGGCACTTCGATAGATCGGCACGTCCAATAATCCGGCACCCTCCGCCCACGCCTCCCTCGCCCCTCTATACCTGTGCGCTTCGGTCGCTGCGTCATCGACGAGCAGTCTAACCTCAAAACTTATCACGTGCACGTGCTTACGTATTTGTTTTTTTTTTCCAAGTGAGAATAGTTTATAGTTAAAAATGTCAAATAAACGCAAACACAAGACACTAGATTTGAATAATAAAATGGAGATTTTAAAGAAGTTAGATAGTGGAGAAAACATGTGCAAATTGGCAAAAGAATATGGTGTTGGGCGTGCTACTATACACGATCTTAAGAAAAAAAGGCAAAAGATAGTAGACCACGTCAAAACAATGGAATCGGGGCCAGGAAAGCGTAAAACACTAAAAGTTGGCGATTGTCCAAAGATGGAAAACGCTCTTTACATGTGGTTCTTGCAACGGCGTTCTAAACACACTCCTATATCTGGAGAAATTCTGAAAACCAAAGCAATCGAATTTTATAAAAAAATTACCCACAAAGATGATTTTCGTGCCAGCGATGGATGGCTGGATAAATTTAAAAAGCGATTTGGTATCCGTCTCTTAACAGTATCGGGTGAGAAATTATCAAGCGACGAATCTGCAGTACAGCCATTTATCCAGCATTTCAAAAACAAAGTAGAAGAACTGGGTCTTCTTCCTGATCAAATCTATAACGCAGATGAGAGTGGTCTGTTCTGGAGACTGTTGCCCAATAAAACATTCGTGTCTTCTACAGAAGCAAGTGCACCAGGTCGTAAAGTGAGTAAAGACAGAATCACATTCATGCCGTGTTCAAATGCTACTGGAACGCACAAATTGGATTTATTAGTGATTGGCAAAGCAAAAAATCCCAGAGCTTTCAAGAACATTTGTCTGCCAGTCTGTTACAAGAACCAAAGTAGAAGTTGGGTCACGAGAGAGGTATTTAGCGAATGGTTTCATAAAGACTTTGTCCCAGAAGTAAGAAAATTTATGAAAAGATCTAACTTGCCCATAAAAGCTTTACTCGTACTTGACAATGCTCCAGGCCACCCAAACGAACAAGAACTTAAATCAAGTGATGGGAATATCCAAACCATCTTCTTACCACCAAACTGCACACCTTTACTGCAGCCGATGGATCAAAACGTTATCCAAAAAATAAAGTCTTTGTATAAAAATAAATTGCTGATCCATATTATATCTCAGGATGGTGATATAACGCAGAGCCTTAAAGGAATGAATTTGAAGGATGTTGTATTCTCTCTCGCTCATGCTTGGAAGTCTGTTTCATCTAACTTAATCCAATCTTCATGGAAAAAGTTATGGCCCACAATGAATGATGTATCAGAAACAGAAGAAACAGATGAATGGGATCCTGAAGATAATATGCCTATTGTCGATTGGTTAAAAAATCTATCAGAAAAAGGATTGGAGACAAGTGAGGAAAATTTAAATTCTTGGTTTGAAGGAATCGAAGAAACAGAGCAAATTATGACAGATGAAGAAATAATATCTGAAGCAGTACAAGAAGAAAGCTTTGTAGAAATATTAGAGCCACCAACTACTACAACTGCTATAAGAGTTAAACCAGATAATGCATTGATGTGTTTCAATACGTGCATAACATGGGCAGAAGAAAACGGCATGTCTGCCAAAGATATTATAATTCTTCGCAACATGCGAGAAAAGGTTTTTAAGCAAGGACTACAAGTTGCACAAAAGCAGACCTCAATTAAGGATTATTTTAAAACTACATAGTTAATCACATATGTACCTACATGTTAATCGAATACATTACATACATTGACTCCCTCTATGAAATATGTACTTTATTTTATTCTTTACCTATGACTTTTTCACTATAATCCAATAATCCGAACATTCCAATAATCCGGCACCCTCCGGTTTTTAATAGTGCCGGATTAGTGAGATTATACTGTATTACTAAACGGTGATGAAAAAAGTAAACAACATTTTATGCAAATTGTAAATTTAATCATTTACTTTGTTGTAGGTTTCTTGCAAATGCCAGTTTTCGTGTACCTGTTTGACATTGGAATGCCGTAAAAAATTATTTCACGACTTCTGGAATCTGGGAGATTATAACGAACAGCAGATTTACCTAAAAAACCTTATACGGCTTTGTTTAATAAACAGAAGGAGACATGGCAATTATGAAGATGCAACCGAAAGCAGGCGACAACGTACATTTAAATACTATCTCATAATTAGAGTCATGTCGGAAGTTCAGGTAAGAATTACTATTCGTTATTTGAATTGTATTCTTAGTTAGTACCTACAATAATTAATGTTTTCAAAAGAATTCTATACTACAAATAGTTATAAGTTCCTTTTAATTTCAGGTGTGTAAAAAGACGTTTTGCGATACTTTTGGTATCAGTCAACGCCGTGTGCAGATGCTTTCCGAAAAAATTTTTAGTAATGACGTATCTGTAAAAGATAGACATGGTGGAAAAAGGCAAAGACGCGAGCCTCAGTGGAAAGAAAAGATTATTGAGTACATAAAGTCAATACCGGCTCAAGAAAGTCATTATAGTCGAAATGACGCTCCTAATAGAAAATATCTCCCAACAGAACTTAGTGTGGTCAAACTATATAAAGGGTTTTTAGAAAAGCACCGTGATGGATCTACTAAGTCACCAGTATCTAGGCAATGGTTTAATGAAATATTTTTGACCGAGTTTAATCTTTCTTTCAAGCCTCCGCGAGTAGACACATGCCCGACGTGTGACTCTTCTAAAATCGAAATAGATACTGCTCCAACTGAAGTAGTAAAAGACCTCGCTAAGCAAAAGTTGGACTTTCATCACAAGCAAGCTGAGATGGCCAGAAAACTAATGAATAATGATGGAGCAGACTCTAGATGCCCTAATTCAGATGTTCGAGTGGTTCAGTTCGACCTCCAGCAACAGATGTACCTCCCAACATTAACCCATACACAGATGTACTACAGTCGTCAGCTGGCGTTTGTCAATATGGGAATTCACTTGGAGGACGAAGGAAAGGGCATCATGTTTCTCTGGAATGAAACTGTTGGGCAAAGGGGTTCCAACGAGATCGCTTCCTGTCTTTACAAGTTTTTCACTTTTAGTGAAATAGGATACACTACAGATAAAAAGAAATTAATTTTGTGGTCAGATAACTGTGGTGGACAAAACAAGAACCAAGCTGTACTTGCTATGTTCCTCGTTTTAATTGCAAAAGGTTTCTTTTCAGAAATTACTCATAAATTTCCTGTAAAGGGTCATACATTTCTCGCCTGCGATCGTGATTTTGCGATCATTGAAAAAGCGAAAAAGTGTGCAAAGCCACTGATTCCAAAAGACCTTATTGAACTTATTACAAATGCTGGCAAAAAAAAACCATTCTTGGTAGTGGATAATAAAATCTTTTTTAATTGGATGAATCTGGCTAAAAATATGACTAATACCGAAAAGCTACAGATATCTTCGGCAACGATGATACGCCTAACATCTGAAAATTTTGGTGTCATTTCTACAAAGAAAAGTTACGGCGAATTTGCTCCTTGGATATCAACTCCAGTGCTTAAACCTGGAATTACTAAGGCGAATTTTGAGAACCTACAAGTTGACATGATCGAGACACCTGTACCTTTATCTGCCGAGAAAAAGAAAGACATTGGTGCCATGTTGCCGTATTTAGCCGGAGATAGCAATTTATTTTATGAAAACCTTTTAAAATAAAGATATTATTCAAGTTGAGTTATGTGCAAGTAATATAATACTTACAACGTTATGACTTGCATAAATAATGGTACTTACAACGTTTTGTTGTTTTAATTTTTTTTAGAAACAAAATAATATTATTTCCTTGTTTTGACTGACACAAAAGTTGTGTTAAATTATTAATAATAAATGATAATTTGATTAAACATTCTTTTTTTATTGCTTTGCTCTTTCTTTTTCCATTAAAACTGTTTTTTGTATCTCCTGTAAATTCCACTTTCTGGCACTTGAAACGTTATGGTTTGGCTCCCCTCAAGTGGAAATGACTGGGGATTTCTGAAAGAGACTCTTGTCACTTCAATACTCCAGAGTTATAATTTATTCCTTTCCTGTGTTAACAGTATGCTGGTAGTGTATCAACTACAGCATTCTAAAACCGTCAATACACATATAGTGTCATTAGGTGGTATGACAGATGATTTGAGGACGAACACAAAACGTCTTGCTGATCAATTAGAGATGGACAACCACTTCAGCAGAGATTTGACACAACAATTGAATCACTTCACTTCAAGTATAGCTCAGTATATGGAAACACTAGAAGCAAGGACTTTGGAACTTCACCATCCCACCAGGAAAACTCCTCGGTCTACAACAACTACCCCCACGGCCGACTCAGAGAGCATGCCCCAGCAAAATCTTCCTGGGAGAATTGAGGCCATCCCAAACACATCTTACCGCAACTCACTCATAAGTGTCTCTTTTGACAAGAATCTCAACATTACAACTTCCTCTCATGTGGCAAAAGCTAAACCCCTTGTATCAATATGTAATTTTCCCATCAATCCTAAGGTTGTTTGTAACATCTTAAACCAGGATCTCAATTTGATCATTGCAAACCTTGCTCCCAATCCAAATTTCTTTTCCAATTTCACTACAACTGACAGTAAGGAAGACCGAATAAAGATGCTCAGGACTACTTTTGGTAACATCCCTTCTAGAGGGTCAATGGATCCGAGAGGATCTTTCCTTTTAAGACAAACAATTGCATTGATTAAGCATGGCATTGCTTATCTTAAATATGATAACTGAGAATTATTATTTTTTGAAATACATGCTTCCAATAAAAGAATTTGAATATTGGTAGTGACTTGTGTGATGATAATGTCATCACTATCATTATCACAGAATGTCACAACGCATGGCCCTGAGCTACCTGCATCCACGGACTAGCTACATATTTCACAAAGTCATCACTCCATCTGGTGGAAAGTCACTCAACACTGCGCTTGCCAGTAAGAGACTGCCAGTCGATGATAATACATGGAACAGTTAATAGATTTTCTAGTTTTAAGCTGTCAAGTGTCATGCTGTCTCTATCATTTAAAGTGAAAGTGACTGTGACACCACGAGACATAACGACTTCCTAAAATTGGGTAGCGTTTGAGTATTCGGCCATAAGTAGTTTCATGCAAGACTTCGTGTTCCCATACAATTTAATGAATCGCATACTTTATATACACAGACCTAACCTAAGAAGTTAACACAACAGATCAATATGTACATTTTACGTTGATAAAAGGACGGCATCAAAATTTGTAATAAAATTATTATAAAGGGAAGGGATTATTAAATTGTATGTACTAAGAACTATTGGTCAGAGTATTGCAATAACACACTGAATCATTACAAGAAATTAGTAAATGTACATTTCTTTTGGTTTTTTCTTATTACAATATTTTAAGTTTTCCTGTTTTATAAAAATAAAATATCACCAATTTAGGTAGTAAATTATTTGGAAGTATCTATTCATATGATAATTGAACGACATCGATCACTAATAAGAAACTACATACACAATCAGTGACAAAAATGTCCTTACTGAATGAGCGCCCACTCGAACATTTGGGTGCACCCCGACGGTAAACATGCCTCAGTGCTTGTAAAGTGTAAAAATCACACATGCAAGACGCTAAAAAAGGATGGAATTTCATACTTTCGGTAAGTATTAATATTATCATTATTTAATTGTTATCGATGTATTGTAAATATTGTCATTTTGTCAAGAATTCATCGTAAAAACATTTTTTAAATAAAGTCGTAATAAAATTCATTCCTTGTCCTAGCGACGAGCCTCGGTCGTAAATTTTGATAGCTTTTTATTGGCACTTTGTAATTCTGACTTTAAAACATGCGTATAAGGTTGAATTTGTTTTGATATAGGTTGACCAGTGAGTATCGGTCATAAAAATTTATTGCTTTTTGTACGTAGCTTTATGAATACAAATTTGGGCAAAGCATTTAAGGTTTAATTTACAATAATGTATATTTTCAGTGACCGCGAGGGTGAAAATTGGTAGCGATCACTGAATGTTTAGAGGCACAGAGAGACCTAAACGTTAAGTTGAAGAGGTCTCGTCTAATGAAGTCAACGCTCTCTCTTTCAGCTCGAGTTACAAAACCGTTTTCAGTGCCTAGAAGACTGCAATGAAGTGGACGATATTAATGATAACCTTGTGGAAACTGTACATGCGGTCGGAGTTAAGTTCTGCAAGACCCGCCGCAGAACACAAAAACTCTCCGATCACACTCTTAATCTGGTTCTTAGACGGGAAATGAAGCTGCAGTCTTCAACAGATTTGACAGCATACAGGCAACTGAACAGTCAGATCTCCAAATGCATGCGGCGGAACGTACGCACCTTCAATACATCTTGTATCGAAAAAGCGATCGAGCGGAACCAAGGCTCCAAAGTCTTTGCCAGAGATCTGTCTGCCAGAAAGAGCCAACTGTCAAAGCTGAAGAAAAGTCAAAGCAGCATAGTTTCTGGGACACCTGAAATTTTGAGTGAGATTGAGATGTTCTATGGGCAGCTGTATACGTCATCGTTGGAGGCACACGCAAGTGTGAGTAGCGATCCAAGAACTCTTATCCGACACTATTACGATGATATCCCGGACGTCAGTCTGAGCGAGATTAGAATGGCTCTCCAGCTAGGTTCAGCAGTGGACTTGTGAAGGGCTGTAATGATGATAATGATGATGATATTTATTTCAACTAGAATTTCGTCAAAACAATTGGCGACATTTTTAGAGAACTATTGCTTGGGATTGTGTATCTAGTTTTTTTATTGGTGATCATGTTTAATGATTAATTTTTTCTTATTTATATGATTATCATATGATTTATTTATTTTTATTCATCCGACATATTTTAATAAAAAAATAAATAGAAAATATATTTAAAAAATTTAGACAAATAAACAATTTAAGTATATACATATATATATTAGGCAATTTGCATCTAATAAAACATTACATAAATAACTCCAATCTCGCAATACCAGTGACAGTAGGTAAAGGACCCCAGCCGCATACATTATATCATCATTACAGCCCTTCACAAGTCCACTGCTGAACATAGGCCTCCCCCAAAGAATGCCACAAAGCACGTTCCTGAGCCACCTGCATCCATCGACTTCCTGCATGTCTTACCAGGTCGTCACTCCATCTCGTGGGGGGACGCCCTACACTTCGCCTACCGGTACGAGGCTGCCACTCGAGAACCTTTCTTCCCCATCGGTTGTCGGTTCTTCGAGCTATATGGCCGGCCCACTGCCACTTCAGCTTACTAATCCGTTGGGCTATGTCGGTCACTCTGGTTCTACTGCGGATATCCTCATTCCTAAGTTTATCACGCAGAGAAACTCCGAGCATAGCCCTCTCCATAGCTCGCTGAGCGACCTTGAACTTCCTCATACGGCCAGCAGTGAAGGACCACGTCTCAGTTCCGTAAGTCATCACTGGCAACACGCACTGGTTGTACAATTTCGTTTTAAGGTTTTGAGGTATGTCTGACGAGAAGATGTGTCGTAGCTTCCCGAACGCTGCCCAGCCGAGTTGAATCCGTCGATTGACCTCTCGGTCGAAGTTGGACTTACCTAGTCGGACTATTTGTCCCAGGTAAACATACTCGTCAACAACTTCGACCTTAGTGCTCCCAACAACTACCGGCATAGGTGTGTCATGGACATTAAACATGATCTTTGTTTTGTCCATGTTCATCTTAAGACCTATCCGTTGGGAAACACTATTGAGGTCATTGAGCATAGTGCTTAGGTCCTCCAGCGATTCTGCCATAAGGACTATATCGTCGGCAAATCGAAGGTGAGTGATGTACTCGCCATTGATGTTGATACCGTATCCTTTCCAGTCCAGAAGCTTGAAAACGTCTTCCAATGCAGCAGTGAAGAGTTTCGGGGATATGACGTCACCCTGTCTTACACCTCTCTGCAATTGGATAGGTTTAGTATTCTGGTTCTGTACTCGGATAGCCATCGTAGCCCTACTGTACAAGCACTTCAACACTTCGATATACCGACAGTCAACTTGGCACCGCTGAAGGGACTGCAGCACCGCCCAAATTTCGACGGAATCAAAGGCTTTCTCATAGTCCACATACGCCAGACATAGTGGCAAATTGTACTCTTCGGACTTCTGTACAACTTGCCGAAGGGTATGTATGTGGTCTATGGTGCTAAAGCCCTTTCGGAAACCGGCTTGTTCGGGAGGCTGGAAGTCGTCATTATACATTATATACACATAGTATTATATTATATAGTACATTATATAGTGATATAAAATATAATAATGAAAGTTTTCATTTTAAAACTTATCGGACCAATAGGTATTTTTTATTTATATGATTATCATATGAATAATTATTTTTTAATCATACGATGTACGACTATCTTATGATTAGCACAGTCAAAATATTTTGAATTAAACTAAATGTAAATATACAATAAGCTCAAGTTACACTTGAAGCTTAATTTTAAGTGTATAGTCATACTACAAAATACATTGTTACATGTCATATTTGTCTGACCACATTCTACAAAGTTACGTTTATCATAAAGTGCACTGAGCTTAGTCTTAGTAATATATGGAGGTATGAAGATATGGTACCCTGCCCACGATGTAAGTCACATAGAAAAATTTTACTTAGGATGGCGGCTTTATAAACTTGAAACAAAGATTTACTTGATATGTTTGTTGACTAGTGAGTGACTTTAGACAATCAAAGTATAGCACAAGTGCTAGACATGAAACCTAACATTATTATAAATTTCACCAATTTTTATAGATCATCCTTCAACTGAGACCCAGGTCATCTAAGGTGGAATGTCACATTTCCATTAAGAGTGGTCTCAGTATTCTACACTCACCATATGAAACACACCAATATTAAACTGCTATTTTACACTGGTATTTTGTGAGTGTGGTCCTTCCCCAGTTGACCAATCCATTCATGCTACAACTATACACTATTGCATGCATGCCTCTACCACATACAAAAAATATTCGATTGGTGAAAATTTATTTGTACAATTTTTTGAAAAGTTTTCTGTATCCATCACAAGTTTAGAGCATTTCCCGTAGTAGCCTCGAACACACCCACGGAATGAAATAGGGCGGACATAGTAAATATAATTGTTAGTGTACAAAGCCGCCATTTTCTACAACAACCGTCACATATTATTTATAGTAAATTTACAGTGTCCATATAGACTAAACTATCACATACTTATACTTATATATACAAAACATACACACACTATTTACAGAGCTTATTCAATACCTGATGCATACACAATTCACAAATACAAAAAATATATTAGGGCTCTCAATAAATTTTCTAAATAAATTAGTCAATACTCAATAAATTTTTCCAAAGTAATATGTTCAATAATACTAATTTGTTGTACAATATTATAATGATTTAACTTATTGACCATTGTTTTCTATTTAAATAGTTTCACACAATTTTCCTACAAAATGAGAACCTAAACTGACATGTCAATCATAAATGTCAAATGAGACCACTTAATATAGAATGTACGTAATTGTGCGTACTGTACTAGACATTATTATTATATAAATAAATGTTGCAAGTACCAAGTAACTTTTGGTATACTGTAAAACATTTTAAACAGGGAAAGAGTAAAATAGTGTTTGGACCATTGTTAAGACTAATACTAAGGATACGCAACGACACTAGACTTACAAGTCTATAATACTGAGTGTTGTAGTTCCACATTTAAAGTAAGACGTGTTTCAAAGAGACACATTTCGGTTATAGCATACTAGCGATTCGCCCCGGCTTCGCACGGTTGATTTCTGGATCTCGAAAACAACGCCACCTAACAGGTCCAATTATGAATTTAAATCATTCTCTAATCAAGTTAATCACACACACTAGCGAAATTGACTGGTTTCACTAATAGCATTGGTTTGGATGCACTCAGGCTATGGAGTGTCTATGACCATTTTCTAGTTTGTGTTATTGTCATATATACCATCAATGTACGAGATATTTAATTGTAATTGAACATCTTGATTATTGCATTACAAACATGGCAAAAATTATAATAATTCAGATTATATTATACATAATAATTAAGAGAATTTGAAATTAAATAATTACGATTATGTTTATCACTGCTGAATTAAATGCATATTAGTCAAGAAAATTACCGATGTACCCCCTCAGATGCTCTTTACAACACAAACAGTGCGGTTATCTACTATATATTTATAAATATATTTTGGTAGTTAAGGTTTAAAAATTTGGTAGTTTATTTGTATGATGATCCATTTGTTAAATAGTTTTAAAGTATTGGTAATTATTTTTAATAAAATAGAATAACAAAGCGTTTCAGAAACACTGTCCGCTAAAGTTGCACATAAGTTTTTATCATAATGTGATAAACATGTCATGTTGATTACATACTTTTTATAACTGACACCTTGTGAAAATTAACTGTACGAGAAGTTGTTGGATTCTTGAATTAAGACAAACCATGACACTGTACATTGTGCAGATCTTTCTTGAGCAAAATGTTTATATCGATAAGTCTGATTCTTGAACTAAGACATTGAGGCATATAACACTGCACTTGGAGCACATCTATTTAGAGCACCAATTTAAAGCTTGGTTGCACAGTGTTTACAGCGAGTTTCATCGCAGGAAGTTTTCGTCTGCGTCTGCGAGCGCACGGTACAGGCGCTCGTCGGTGGACAGCACACGCACAGAAAACGAGTTTAAAGTCAACGGAGGTCCCTGCACCACCTCCACATTACCGGCGTTGGCCTGCAACAAGGATAAACTCATTACAAATAATAATAATGTCTTCCAGACCGAATTTCGGTGACGGCGGCCAGTCATAGTGTGTATGTGATCAAGCACAAGAGCACTCTCTATTCTTCACTCTCATAGTCCCATGAGCCGCTAATCCGACACGACCAGAGGGAGATCAGGCGCAGGACAGAGAACGGCTTTACGTGCTTTCCGAGGCACGGATGAAACACCGCCAACTTGCTAACTCCGGGCCGCTACTGAGGATTTCTTGATAGAAAAACCAAATAAGTGATTTTCGTTCGGATCCGGGAGCTCATTGATCAACATTCGCGTTTATCATCTGTCACGGACGGCTCGAGAGCCCCCGCTCCCCGCGCCCCGCGAGCGCACAGCGACGGTGAGACGCCGCCGCGCAAATATAATAAGGACACCGGCCCGCTGCGAGTCATTCGATTCCCAAGCGGCAGTAGTGTATTAGTAATAGAATTTGTATAAATAATTAATTGTACTGCCGCATTATTGTATGTATAAAGTGAATAGTGTTAAATTTTCCCACCTTTTTTATACAGTCCAACTCGGTCTAATAGGCAGTTAGTAAAGTAAATAAACTATCAAAGTTAAATTAAAGTTAGTCAGTCAGTCTACGAATCTATTTAGTACACTTGCACTCTACAACTCACTCCACACATTTGTCTCCATCGAGATGATCCCTAAGATCCATAATACTATCACTAAATCAACGAGGCGGATATATAAAATTGTTAAATAGTAGCATTTATACGTACGTGTTAATTTTTTGTATATATACTTGTATAGCAGCCCGACTTCATGGAGAAAGAAGGACTCCTTATGATGAACTCTTTCTTCCAGAAGCGGCCCCACAGGAAGTGGACCTGGTCGAGCCCCGACGGTTCGACAAAAAGGTTGACTTCATTATGACGACCAGACGACAACTGTTCAGTGATGTCTCCGTGATCGCGAGGGTGAAAATTGGTAGCGATCACCGAATGGTCAGGGGCACACTGAACCCAAACGTTAAGTTGGAGAGGTCTCGTCTAATGAAGTCAACGCTCCGTCCCCCTCGTGCTCTGTTCCAAAGTCCCGAAACCTTTCAGCTCGAGTTACAAAACCGTTTTCAGTGCCTAGAAGACTGCAATGAAGTGGACGATATGAATGACAAGCTCGTGGAAACTATCCATGCGGTCGGAGCTAAGTTCTGCAAGAGCCGCCGCAGAAGAACACAAAAACTCTCCGATCACATTCTTAATCTCATGGCTGTTAGACGGGAAATGAAGCTGCAGTCTTCAACAGATTTGACAGCATACAGGCAACTGAACAGACAGATCTCCAAATGCATGCAGCGGGACTTACGCAACTTCAATACAGCTTGTATTGAAAAAGCGATCGAGCGGAACCAAGGCTCCAAAGTCTTTGCCAGAGATCTGTCTGCCAGAAAGAGCCAACTGTCAAAGCTGAAGACCGAGTTTGGCAGCATCGTCTCCGGGACACCTGAGATTTTGAGTGAGATTGAGAAGTTCTATGAGCAGCTCTACACGTCATCGTTGGAGCCACACGCAAGTGTGAGTAACGATCCAAGAGCGAGTCTTATCAGACACTATTCCGAAGATATCCCGGATGTCAGTCTGAGCGAGATTAGGATGGCTCTCCAGCACCTTACAAAAGGGCAAGGCCCCAGGCGAGGATGGAATTACAGCGGAGCTTCTGAAAGCGGGTGGAAAACCGGTACTTGAAGTCCTTCAGAAGCTCTTTAATTCCGTCCTCCATGGTGGCATTACACCGGAGGCGTGGAGCAGAAGTGCGGTGGTCTTGTTCTTCAAGAAAGGTGACAACGCTCTCTTGAAGAACTACAGACCGATTTCCCTTCTGAGTCGTGTCTACGTGCTGTTTTCGAGAGTCATTACGAACCTCTCCGCGCGCAGACATGACGACTTCCAGCCTCCCGAACAAGCCAGTTTCCGAAAGGGCCTTAGCACTATAGACCACATACATACCCTTCGGCAAATTGTACAGAAGTCCGAGGAGTACAATTTGCCACTATGTCTGGCGTATGTGGACTATGAGAAAGCCTTTGATTCCGTCGAAATTTAGGCGGTGCTGCAGTCCCTTCAGCGGTGCCAAGTTGACTGTCGGTATATCGAAGTGCTGAAGTGTTTGTACAGTCGAGCTACGACGGCTATAACTGCAGAGAGGTGTAAGACAGGGTGACGTTATATCCCCGAAACTCTTCACCGCTGCATTGGAAGACGTTTTCAAACTTCTGGACTGGAAAGGATACGGTATTAACATCAATGGCGAGTACATCACTCACCTTCGATTTGTCGACGATATAGTACTTATGGCAGAATCGCTGGAGGAACTAAGCACCATGCTCAATGACCTCAATAGCGTCTCCCAACGGATAGGTCTTAAGATGAACATGGACAAAACACAGATCATGTTTAATGTCCACGTCACACTATGCCGGGAGTTGTTGGGAGCACTAAGTTGTTGACGAGTATGTTTACCTGGGACAAATAGTCCGACTAGGTAAGTCCAACATCGACCGAGAGGTCAATCGACGGATACAACTCGGCTGGGCAGCGTTCGGGAAATTACGACACATCTTCTCGTCAGACATACCTCAAAACCTTAAAACGAAATTGTACAACAAGTGCGTGTTGCCAGTGATGACTTACGGATCTGAGACGTGGTCCTTCACTGCTGGCCGTATGAGGAAGCTCAAGGTCGCTCAGCGAGCTATGGAGAGGGCTATGCTCGGGGTTTCTCTGCGTGATAAACTTAGAATTGAGGATATCCGCAGTAGAACCAGAGTAACCGACATAGCACAACGGATTAGTAAGCTGAAGTGGCAGTGGGCCGGCCATATATGGGATGAAAGGTTCTTGAGTGGCAGCCTCGTACCGGTAGGCGAAGTGTAGGGCGACCCCCCACGAGATGGAGTGACGACCTGGTAAGACATGCAGGAAGTCGATGGATGCAGGTGGCTCAGGACCGTGCTTTGTGGCATTCCTTGGGGGAGGGCTATGTTCAGCAGTGGACTTATGAAAGGCTGTAATGATGTAATGATGATGATACTTGTATACATGTATATATTTGTATTATAAATATGTGTTAATACTTAACAGATCTAAATATATGAATATATATATTATCTCGTGTCACCCCCATTCCAAAAACTAGTAACTGGTCCTCTATTGAGGATTATTAACCCATTGCAGTTCTCTCATCCCCTGCCAAAGTCTTTGAACATATTCTACATAAGGTCATTTACGAACAGTTAAAATCCTATTTATGCGACGAACAACATGGTTTTCGACCTGGTCGCTCAGTAGAGACTAATCTTCTTTCGCTTGTGGATTACATTTCGCAGAGTCTAGATAAAGGTAGGCAGGTAGATGTGCTATACCTCGCTTTTAAAAAGGCGTTTGATAAAGTGGACAAAGACATACTGTTAATAAAGTTATGCGATATAGGATTTACACCGAAACTACTATCCCTTTTTTTAAATTATCTTCGCAACCGGCGCCAATATGTTACCCATGGTTGTTACCTATCCCAATCATACCATACTTGCTCCGTAGTTAATCAGGGATCGGTAATCGGTCCACTCCTTATTTCTTATCATGATAAACGATCTTGTTAGCGTCGTTAAATATGCTAAATGCTTACTTTACGCAGACGATTTAAAACTGACACTTGAAATAAATGAAAATGTCAACCACAGTCATCTCTAAAGTGATATCGATCGGGTCTACTAGTGGAGTATTGACAATAAAATGTTTTTCAACACGAGTAATTGTTATGTTATGACATTTAGTCGCAAATTACAGCCTCTACAAGCTGCTTATACTTTAGATATTACTCTAACGCGCGTGACAACCATAAAAGATCTTGGCGTGATTTTTGGTTGTAGCTTAACTTTTCATGCACATATATTCGCCTTGGCTGATGACTGTTACAAACGCCTCGGATTCGTTTTGCGCAATACCCGCGAATTTCAAAATACAGAAGTAATCAAACAATTATTTAACACCTTAGTGAGAAGTATAAACAGTCCCATTGGACTATGAGTGAGGGAATAGAGTGAACCTGCGCTAGCGCATACATTTGAGTAGTATAATTATATTTTGTGTAGATGGTTAGTCGCCGTTGAGACTGGTTGCCGTGAGCGCAATGCGGTGTGAAGGACATATATAAAGCTTAGGCATTGCAGATAGGGCGTGAGACTGACCAGGAATAGCGTGGCGAGGAACAGGCGCGGCACGTCGTGCGCGTCCTGCGCCGCGGCCAGCAGGCGCGCGCACGGCACGCCGTGCTGCGGGTGCTGTTGCTGCTGCTGCTGCGGGTGCTGCTGCTGCTGGGCGCGCTGCTGCTCGCGCTGCAGGTGCTGCAGCAGGCGCGCGGCCGCCGCCTGCACGTCGGGCGCGCGCTCGCTGAGCGCCGCCCGCCGCAGCACGTCTGCGCTCCAGCTGCTCCACTGATGCTGCTGCCCCGAGCTTTCCTTTTGCACGCACACACCAATACTAATTATAATGTCAGAAGTTGTTCAATGAAAAGGAGACGTGTTGCCCAGTTTAAAACTAATTATATTATTTTTTATTGATTACAATTGACATTAATACCTAGTCAGGTCATAAGTATTGTCACACAGTAAAAACTTTTCTTTTAGAATGCTGGCCACAAAAAAGTTTATTGAATTCGAATTTGGAATTGTTCATGAAAATAAAACTGTATACTTTTTAGAATTTTACTCATTTTTAAATATGGAGTGGACGCTTAACCTTAGAGTGGTCGCGCGGATGACATTAGTCATCCACGCTGACTAAATGGCCGGGAATTCTTGATTTTTATATGGCAACACATCGCCGGCGCCCACTTTAGTATTGCTCATAGTACGCTGCGTGACGTCAGTAACTGCCGTGCACTTGCGTGGTTCGGTTGAGTCAGGATAAGTGCAAATTAGTAGGTGGAGGACACATGTCATCCGCGCGACCGGTTACGTAAGTATTTTGTGACGAACATTTTATAACCTTTTTATCGATTTTGTAATTGTTATGGTATATTTATAACACCTTTTATAGTAAATAATATTTATTTAATAAAATTCATCATCATCATTACAGCCCTTCACAAGTCCACTGCTGAACATAGGCCTCCCCCAAAGAATGCCACAAAGCACGGTCCTGAGCCACCTGCATCCATCGACTTCCTGCATATCTTACCAGGTCGTCACTCCATCTAGTGGGGGGACGCCCTACACTTCGCCTGCCGGTACGAGGCTGCCACTCGAGAACCTTTCTTCCCCATCGGTTGTCGGTTCTTCGAGCTATATGGCCGGCCCATTGCCACTTCAGCTTACTAATCCGTTGGGCTATGTCGGTCACTCTAGTTCTACTGCGGATATCCTCATTTCTGAGTTTATCACGCAGAGAAACTCCGAGCATAGCCCTCTCCATAGCTCGCTGAGCGACCTTGAGCTTCCTCATCCGGCCAGCAGTGAAGGACCACGTCTCAGTTCCGTATGTCATCACTGGCAACACGCACTGGGTGTACAGTCTCGTTTTCAAGTTTTGAGGTATACCTGACGAGAAGATGTGCCGTAATTTCCCGAACGCTGCCCAACCGAGTTGAATCCGTCGATTGACCTCTCGGTCGAAGTTGGACTTACCTAGTCGGACTATTTGTCCCAGGTAAACATACTCGTCAACAACTTCGAGCTTAGTGTTCCCAACAACTACCGGCATAGGTGTGACATTTAATAAAATTAGTAATTTCTTATAGCTATTTTGCTAAAAAAATTGTTTTTAATTTTTATTTTAGAACTAAAAATGGCAAACCGAGATCAGCAAATCGAGTTATGGTTATTGGAGGAAGATGAGGACATTTTAGAGGGTACTCCATGTTCTGATGACGAAGAGTCGGATCACCTAGAAGTCCAGGGCGAAAATACGGACTCAGAAGAAGATGGTGACCATGATTTAGGTGAATTTGAGTTGAACCAAACATTTGCTAGTTCCGCAAGCCCCGCACATGTTTTCACGGATGAGGACGAGGTACCACTTTCAAATTTATTTTACCAAGGTGTTGACAATACTAGATGGCTGAAGGAACAAGTTCGTGCTCGACGTTTGATGCGCCAACACAACATCGTACGTGTACAATCAGGTCCTCGAGAAATAGCGAAAACGAAGGCTACTTCTCTAGATTGTTTGTCTCTCTTTCTTGATGATGAAATTGTAGCTATGATAACGGATTCCACAAATAAACGTATACTAATTGAGCAAAATAAATATTCAAGGGATAGAGATGCGAAAATAACTGATGAGTTAGAAATAAAAGGACTAATGGGCATTTTATATCTCTGTGGGAGTGTAAAATCTGGAAGGGAAAATATCTTGCAGTTGTTTGACGCTAAGAAAGGGACCGGGATGGAAGCTGTTTATCTTACAATGAATGTACAAAGGTTCAAGTTTTTGATGAGAAACCTTCGTTTTGATGATCCTACAACGAGAGCGTAAAGGATAATGGTTGACAAGTTGGCACCTATTCGTGATTTATTTCAGAAAATTGTCAAAAATTTTCAAAAACATTATACACCAAGTTCTGAACTGACTTTAGACGAACAATTGATAGCGTACAGAGGCAGGTGCCGATTTCGGCAATACATTCCCAACAAGCCAGCGAAATATGGGATCAAAATATTTGCCCTGGTCGATTGTGAACGTCCATACACATACAATTTGGAAATATATGGAGGCAGTAACCCCGGTCCCTTCGAAATAAGCAATAATCGGTTTGACGTAGTTCTGAGAGTCACTGAACCTATTCATGGTGAAAATAGAAACGTAACAATGGACAACTGGTTTACTTCTCTCGAAGCAGCTAAGAAGCTTTTTGAAAATAAAACCACTGTCGTTGGTACAATTAGAAAGGATAAAAGAGAGGTACCGAAGGCATTCCGAACAACTACAAACAGAACTGAATTTTCGTCTTTGTTCGGTTTTCATGAAAACACTACCTTAGTTTCATATGTGCCAAAAAAGAATAAGGTTGTATTACTTTTGTCAACTGTACATAATGATGGTTGTATTGACGAGAGTTCTGGTGACAAACGTAAACCAGATATTATTACATATTATAATCGAACAAAGAATGGGGTAGACCTAGTGGACAAAATGTGTTCCTTGTATGATGTGGCCAGAAACTCACGGCGATGGCCGCTGACGGTTTTTTTTAATTTGATGAATATAAGTGCCATAAATGCTTTATGCATATACAAAGCAAACAATGGACTAATAAAAGTATTACGTCGAGAGTTTCTTTCTGATATTGCGTTGGGTATGATGAAACCTTTGGCTAGTAGAAGAATGAGTACTAATTGTTTACCGAAGATCCTCAAGCTTAAAATAAGCGATTTTTTGGGTATTCCATTAGACGAACAACCACAAAAAGTGGCGAGTTCTCCTCGTGGAGGCGCGCGTGGTCGCTGCTTTTTGTGTGGAAGAAAACGTAATAAAACCACGCGTATATCATGCCAATTATGTGGGAAATTTACTTGTCCCGACCATTGCAATTATATGTGCAATAGTTGTTATGAAAATCATACCTAAGAATATTTTTAGTCTCTCATAATTATAGCTAATATCAAAAGTTGATCTCAGAAGCAAAGAAATTATAGTTACTCGTTCGTAAGTTCCTAATTTTAATTAAAACCCTTCTTTTTTATTCATTTTTTGTTTAGTTATGTAGGTGATATTATGTCAGTTACTTTCAATAAAAATATGCACCCAAAATATTGGTATTATTATTATAAATTATCATTGGCAAATGGATGACACACGTCATCTGCGCGACCTCTTATGATATATTTATATGCGCGACCGCTCTAGGGTTAAAGAAACGCCAATTCAAATTTTTGACATACTGAAAAATTTGAATATAACCAAAAGATTCGTTTATCGTACCATCAAACGATACAGTGAAGACTCTAGTGTAGATGACAGGTAAAGAAGTGGTCGCCCTCGGTCTGTTAGGACTCCAGCAGTGATAAAAGCTGTGAAGGCGCGAATTCAAAGAAATCCCAAACGTAAGCAGAAACTATTGGCCCTACAGATGGGGTTAAGCAGAACCATGGTGAAAAGGGTGATAAATGAAGACTTAGGGCTTCGAGCGGCTTCGGGCATATCGAAGAAAAACAGGACATCGTTTGAATGCTCGTCTGATGGACCTGAGATTGAAGAGATGCCGCGCTTTATTGAAGCGGTACGCGGGAAAAAAATATCAGGAAATTCTTTTTTGGGACGAAAAGATTTTTACCGTAGAAGAGAGCTACAACAAACAAAATGATAAAGTGTATGCACACAGTAGTAAAGAAGCGAGCAACCGTATTCCGCGTGTCCAACTAGGTCATTTTCCATCCTCGCTCATGGTATGGTTGGGAGTTTCTTATTGGGGCTTAACAGAGGTACATTTTTGTAAGAAAGGTGTAAAAACGAATGTAGTTGTGTATCAAAATACAGTCCTGACGAACCTTGTGGAACCTGTTTCTCATACCATATTCAATAACAGGCACTGGGTATTCCAACAAGATTCGGCGCCAGCTCATAGAGCGAAGAGCTCACAAGACTGGCTGGCGGCGCGTTAAATTGACTTCATCCGGCACGGAGACTGGCCCTCCTCCAGTCCAGATTTGAATCCGTTAGATTACAAGATATGGCAACACTTGGAGGAAAAGGCGTGCTCAAAGCCTCATCCCAATTTGGAGTCACTCAAGACATCCTTGATTAAGGCAGCCGCCGATATTGACATGGACCTCGTTCGTGCTGCGATAGACGACTGGCCGCGCAGATTGAAGGCCTGTATTCAAAATCACGGAGGTCATTTTGAATAAACTTTAAGTGTCATAAGAATCTATGTTTTGTTAAGTTCATTTTGGTATATAAATGGTTACATAATGAATAAACTTCTTTCAATTATTTTATATTAAACATGTGACAGAATTTATGACCTGACTAGGTATATAATACTGGAGGATTAATATATAACACTACTATAATGGAGTTATTTTTCGAGGAACCGTAAAATAAAAGCAGCCCAAGTTTCTCCTTATAACATCAGCTATCTGCCAGTGTGTATAAATATTGACAAATATTGACATTAATATGTATACGATAGTTTTGCCTTCCTGGAACCCCTCCACTAAGACTTAAACTTTATGGTATGGTATTAAAGTTCAAATTGACTGTTAAGTATTATTACGAATCTTTTGTATGGGAATATAGAAAAGTGTTGTTTTTAGACTTTTTCAGGCAATTTTTAAAAATTTTCTCTCCGTAAGAACCATCTTCGTACTTCAAGGAATATTACAAAAAAAATTTGTGAAATCGATTCAGCTGTTCTCGGGATTTGCGCTTAGCAACACATTCAGCGATTCATTTTTATATTATAGAGGATTATTAGAAAAAATTTGGGATGTACAAGCTGGATTTAGAAAGGGGATGGGGTGTACAGATCAAGTCTTTTCCATGCGCATGATAGCGGAAAAGTTTTTGGCCAAAAAACAGGAAGTTATTTGTGTTTTCATGGACTTGGAAAAGGCTTATGACAGAGTGGACAGGGATGTGTTATGGCAAACACTGAACTCAATTGGGTTGAGCACTGGTTTGATACAGGCATTAAAGTCTCTTTATAGGGACTCCAGTGCTTGTGTCAGGATCAACGGGGCCTACTCGAACTGGTTCGACATTCATAAAGGTGTCAGACAGGGATGTGTGGCTTCCCCGTGGCTGTTTAACCTATTTATGGACAGTTGTTTGCAAACTTTGAAAGTTGAAGAATGTGGGTTGAGAATGGGTGAGTCAACCGTCAAATGCCTTTAGTACGCCGATGATCAAATCATATTTGCATCGTCGGCGGCCGAGTTGCAAATGATGGTTACTTTAATGAACTGGTCATTGAAAGAAAGGGGTATGAAAGTGAACGCAAGTAAAACGAAAGTGATGGTTTTTGAAAGAGAAGAAAGTAAAATGTTATGTGAAATAAGAATAGAAGGGGAGTTGATTGAGCAAGTGAATGAGTTTGTATATTTGGGATGTTTATTTAGCAGGTATGGCAGATATGATAAGGATATAGAAAGACGAGTGAACGCAGGAAATAGAGTGAATGGGGCTCTACGCGCTATTATGAGGAGTCAGTTTGTGTCAAATAAGGCACGTATGGCAATTCATAATGCTGTGTTAGTCCCTACTTTAATGTATGGTAGTGAAAGTTGGGTCTGGCAGAAGAAGCATGAGAGTAGAATAAATGCTGTAGAATTGCGGTCCTTAAGGAGTATGCTAGGGCTGAATCTGAATGACAGGGTGAGAAATAGTGTGATAAGAGAAAAGTGTGGTTTGCAAGATGACGTTGTGACAAGGATTAAAAAAGGAATGCTTCGATGGTTTGGTCATGTAGAAAGAATGAACGAGGAAAGAGTGACAAAGCAAATTTATGTTGCAGAAGTGAACGGCAGGGTCGGGAAGGGACGCCCTAGTCCTAGACGAAGGTTTATCGACCAAATCGGCGATACATTAAAAATGGGCCAGATTAGGAGACGAGCTTGTATGCAAAGATATATGGATGTAAAGGAGGCGAGAGAGGTGTATCAGGATCGCGCCAAATTGAAGTCCGTAGTCTCTGCCTACCCCTCTGGGTGACAGGCGTGAGTGTTTATGTATTATGTATGTACAAATCTTGTGGACTGTACAACGTCAAACCTCCCACCATCAAAATACGAGCCGTGTACGTGAAAGTAGTGGTACAATTAAAACTAATTTAAATTAAAATTAACAAATCAATAAATATTAAATGAATACGTAGCTAAAATGCTGTAAAATAAAATGAAAACTAAATAAATGTTAGTCAAATGTAAAATAAAAAACAAATAAAATTATAAAGAATGAAATGAAAATTGGACGTAGTTATACAAAAACGTTCCAACCCACAAGTTTTTGTATAACTACGTCCAATTATAATGAAGAAGGACAAGAAGACCGAGACGAGATCTTGATAATAAAGGAAACAAATAAACAATCTTGTAAATGTTTGTGAAAATTAAAATATAATATTATGTTATAACATAATTATGGCTGATTATATCAATTATTATAACTACTGTGACTACGCATTAAGTTTAGCCAAACTCCCTAATAAATCTAAAATATGACTTAGATTATAGTTTTCATAAAGATATTCATTTATTACGCTTATTATAACTTTAAGGATAGATAAAAAAATCAAAGCATTATTTTTGATTATTTTGTCGGTGGGAGGTGCGCGCGCGCGCCACGTGCTCATGCACACACACACACTCACCCCCCCCCCCCCACATACACCCACACACACCCACCCCTACCCCCACACACACAAGCACACACCCCCCCACACACACCCATAGACACACTCACCCCCCCCCCCCCCACATACACCCACACACACCCACCCCTACCCCCACACACACAAGCACACACCCCCCACACACACCCATAGACACACTCACCCCCCCCCACATACACCCACACACATCCACCCCTACCCCCACACACACAAGCACACACCCCCCCACACACACCCATAGACACACTCCCCCCCCCCCCACATACACCCACACACACCCACCCCTACCCCCACACACACAAGCACACACCCCCCACACACACCCATAGACACACTCACCCCCCCCCCCCCCCCCACATACACCCACACACACCCACCCCTACCCCCACATACACCCACACACACACCCACCCCTACCCCCACACACACACACACAAGCCCCCCCCCCCCCACACACACCCATAGACACACTCACCCCCACCCCCATCAACTACGGAGCTAAGGTCTCATCATAGCTAACAAAAAGAGCACAAATTAGCCTAATCCCAGTACTACTCGTCGAGGAGTTCCAGTAGCACTGCAGTACACCATCAGGTCTCTCCGTTAAGTCCAGAGCTAAGGTCTTATCATAACTAACAAAAAGAGCACAAACTCCACACACTTAGTTCTACTTGTCGAGGAGTTCCAGTAGCATTCACTGAAGTACACCATCAGGTCTCTCCATCAACTCCGGAGCTAAGGTCTTATCATAACTAACAAAAAGAGCGCAAACTAGCCTAATCCTAGTAATACTCGTCGAGGAGTTCCAGTAGCAGTCACCGTAGTACACCATCAGATCTCTCTATCAAGCCCGGAAGTAAGCTCTCATCATAACTAAGAACATAAAACATAAACACTCACGCCTGTCACCCAGAGGGGTAGGTAGAGACTACGGCACGATCCTGACACACCTCTCTCGCCTCATCATATATCTACGCATACACGCTCGTCGGTTAAGGGTACTCCTAATCTGGCCCATTTTTAATGTATCGCCGATTTGGTCAATAAACCTTTGTCTAGGGCGTCCCTTCCCGACCCTGCCGTTCACTTCTGCAACATAAATTTGCTTTGTCACTCTTTCCTCGTTCATTCTTTCTACATAACCAAAACCACCGAAGCATTCCTTTCTTAATCCTTGTCACAACGTCATCTTGCAAACCACACTTTTCTCTTATCACACTATTTCTCACCCTGTCATTCAGATTCAGCCCTAGCATACTCCTTAAGGAACGCAATTCTACAGCATTTATGCTTCTTCTGCCAGACCCAACTTTCACTACCATACATTAAAGTAGGGACTAACACAGCATTATGAATTGCCATACGTGCCTTAGTTGACACATTCTGACTCCTCATAATAGCGTGTAGAGCCCCATTCACTCTATTTCCTGCGTCCACTCGTCGTTCTATATCCTTATCATATCTACCATACCTGCTAAATAAACATCCCAATTATACAAACTCATCCACTTGCTCAATCAACTCCCCTTCTATTCTTATTTCACATAACATTTTACTTTCTTCTCTTTCAAAAACCATCACTTTCGTTTTACTTGCGTTCACTTTCATACCCCTTTCTTTCAATGACCAGGCCCTATAAAGAGACCTTAATGCCTGTATCAAGCCAGCGCTCAACCCGAATGAGTTCAGTGTTTGCCATAACACATTCCTGTCCACTCTGTCATAAGCCTTTTCCAAGTCCATGAACGCACAAAAAACTTTCTGGTTTTTGGCCAAAAACTTCTCCGATATCATGCGCATGGAAAAGACTTGATCCGTACACCCCATCCCCTTTCTAAATCCTGCTTGCACATCCCAAATTTTTCCATCAGTTTCTTCCATAACTCTTTCAATTAACACCTTAGCATACAGTTTACCCACAATGCTAAGCAAGCTGATACCACGGTAGTTTTTAGAGTCCTGCTGCGACCCCTTTCCCTTATATATTGGGACTATAACGGCTTTGCACCAGTCTTCCGGTACCCGCTTCAGTTCCCAACATAAATTAAACAAGGTGTACAGCAGGCCTGCAACCACACCCTCACCAGCCCTTAGCATTTCGAGTGCTTTCATGCTTTTCATTGCTTTCATTATTTCATCTACACTTATCTCCCTACCTCTCTCCACTTCTTCCGGAATTTTTATTTCACTTATTTCAGACGACTCTTCACTCTTAAACACGCTTTCAAAGTATTCCTTCCATCTCTTTAAATTCGAAACTTCATCATTCAG